AGATATGTCAATGTCGATACAGGACCCTCCTTTGTTTTACCAAGTTACTAGCTAACTGCAATTCACACGTTAATTTATTTGAATATTCCTTGCGTTATTGAATATGATAAACATGGACATGCGTATAACACATTTTCTTTATCAAATTATTTTTAATTGAAGATATGAAAAATTGTACAACTTCTAATATAATTTGTAATAAAACTAGCGTCACTTGTTTTTGATTTTGGATATTATGAATACGAAATATGTAAACACAGCTTTCATTTCAATAATTTTGCAGCTTATAACAATGTGATGAACAAACAATCATCGATTTAAGTGAAACGATGGATTATGAGGATTTATATAAAAAAATCAGTAAAAATGTAGGAGTTTTGTCAATTCGCACAAACCGTTTTGTTGTAGCGTTAAACCAATCGAACACTTTGTTTTTGATGAAAAAAAACTAATTTCAAAATTATTCTAAAATAATATTATATTACAAATGAATTCATTCAACATTTATTTAAATAAATTTTATTTTTAAATAAAAAAAAAATTACATTATTTGAATAATATGTGAATAAAACCGTTGCAAATATCGGAATCTATAATATTAATGTTAGAATAATTATTTAAAAATTTTAGAGTATTATTTTTGTATTCCTTTTTTTTTCTGCAAAATTCATCGTTTGAATTTAAATTAATCACAATACAGTCAGTAATTTATAGGGTGTCCGAGATTCGATTGTACTCCTGAAGTTGTATTGTAAATAATACAAATTAGATATAGACGGTTTACATAATTCTGAGTAGCAAGGTTTAAAAACTTTTATTTTTTTAATATTTTATTCCCAGATTCATACCTAATAAAGGTGTCACTCTTATTATTTTTCGTGCATTATGTTTTATATTCATATTTTAAATAAATTTTTGCTTAAATATGTCAGAAACTAAAAAGCATCAATGCTTTTCTTATAGAAGCAGGAATTCATGAACCTTAAAATGGGTACACCAAATTGGTTTTTACTTGTTATATTGTCCCTATAAAGCAGTAGCTGCGAGGAGTGATAGGCATACTGAAAAATAGAAAATACACACACAGTAGGATTCTGGGAGAATATGGAATGCGGCCTATGGACATTAGGTCTGACTTTGTGGTGCCTTGTGGTTGTGGTTCCACAAAGGGAGGATTCGAGTGCGGAAGGGTTATGCATGCATGAGGGGTTGTCCATCTATACGGATGGTTCTAGGACCATGGATGGTGCGGAGGGTCTTCTCCGATTAGTTGGGCGTAGAGCTGTCGATTGCCCTGCCTGATGGATGTAGGGTTTTCAAGGCAGAGATTTTGGCGGTGCACGGGACGGCGGAATTGGTTGCCGTTAAACCGATGAGGGGATGCGAGCTGGCAATTTTTGCGGATAGTAGGGTGGCGATTGGGGCCCTCGCGTTCTATTCGGTTGGGTCGGCTTTGGTGGGTCGATGCAGGAGGGCACTTTGCAATATGTGCAGGTTGACTGTGTGCTGGGTTCCCGGTCACAGCGGGATACGGGGTAATAAGATGGCAGATCGTCTTGCGAGGATGTCGTGGATGTCGGGATGTAGCGGAGGTTGAAAAACGGAGAAGCTCTTTGCCTGTTCGTTTTTAATGTGGAAGAGAAAGCGTGTCTTGGGGGCTTAATTTTATGATAACCTGGGGGACCTATCCGGGGTGTCTCTCGCGCGGCTTTTGGGCTTCGCAAGGGAAGTTGGCTGGTTTGGATAGAGGGTCTAGTGGGTCGGATTGCATGGGGATTCTTGGGTGTTGTTTTTGGGGGTTGCCGATGTCCCTTTTCTGTTGGCCTAGTGCATAAACTGCAAGTGGATATACAGGTGGAGCCCCCTCTGATAGTTGATTTTTAGATAGACCAACTTCGACGCCTTATAATCCGAGAAGGAGAGACTAAATACGGAAATATCACCTGGTTTGCTTTGTTCATCTGAATCTTCAATTCAGAAAATTCGATCAAATTGAAATTCTATCAATCAGCTTTAGAAGTACCATCAAATTTTTGACACCCTGTATATATTTCTGAAAATTGTATATTCTAAATGAGTACATACTATTTATGTCTTTTATATATTTTATATGCATTACAATAATTGCATGGTCAATTAGAACAAAAACCTATTAACTCTTATACCTTCATATATATATTAAAAAGTGCATGATTTAGTACAAATTTAATATCAGAGTGAATAATCAAAATATACATAAAACATAATATAATAGTAACAACAATAACTCTGTGTATAATATTATATTTATGTAAGTATACATAACAATGGCATACTAACAATAAAATATCATAATCTCATAACATCAGCGCGGCTACAAATTGTATTTATATATGAAACTTATATTACAAAGAATATAAAACGTGAAATTAAAAAAGAATGTTACCAATATAAGTGAATTGGCTGTTATTTATACTCAGTGATTGCGCTTACAAAAATATATACAAACATATATGTACACATATAGAAAAACATATGCACGTGTGCATGTTGGCGAATATCAAAAAATTTAAGAGAATAAAAAAATTAAAAAAAAAATTAAAGAAAAAGCAATAAAAAAAATGAAATGTCCATAGGGGGTAATTGATAAGTGGAAATCAATTTAATGGATTTTGTCATTAACTAAGAACTGGGTGGTAAATTGTGGTACTACTAATATCGTTTATATTTTTTTCTACCAATATTCCATACGAAATAAATTATTTTAATATTAGGTATACTAGCTACACACACATAATAATATGAACGTATAAGCATGTGTTACCAATAATATCAAAAAAAAAAAGCAAATAAAATTGAAAATTTCGTAATATTTCGGATTTTACTTTATTTTTATTGTTATTGTTGTTTTTTCATTTTAAAATTAGTCAATTTAAGGTTAATTGAAGATTTGTGATTGGTTCTAATTTGTAACTTACTATTAAATCTGTCGTGTTGAAATTAATTTCGAGGAAAAACAAAAATAGAATAATGGAAAATTAAATTTTAGCTTGGAAAAATAATTTAATTTTTTTTTTTCAATTTTATAGTGTTTTATGAAATTGAAGGTCTTTTAAGTGTTCTTTCTGGTTACCATGACTAAAACGAAAAAATCAATTTTATTTCGTGTATAAATGCACACATTATATAATTTGATTCATTGATTAAGCTGTGAAAAAAATTTTAAAAATTTTTAACCAAAATGAAAAATTTAGAAAATTTCTCAATTAAAAGTCAAATTATACTCAATTTTTTTTAATGTAATGTAAATATTAGTGTTTTAGGAGAAAAATAATTTTAAATAATTTATGGTAATATTGTACAATAATTGTGCCAACAAGAAAAATAATTAGCACTGCGGCAACAATATCAAGCGTTCATTTCTTATGAGAAATAATATTGAGTGAACCCATCTACATTAAATAATAATTGGAAGACCAGTGGGAGGTAGGAGTCCGACAATTTATTGCGACTTCCATTTGAACTATTGAAAAATTGTAGAATAAGTACGGATCCGGAGAGAACATTAGAGCTGTGATAGGGGTCATAACGGGTCATTGACTTATTGGCGAACATGCCCATGAGCCGCTGTGCGATGAATCTCTGACGAAGCTCGGTGCTTACGAAGAGGAGGAGACTGTGGCCCATCTCTTTTGCTCATATCCAGCTTTGACAGGAAGAGGACGGATATTTCTTGGATCATTCTTTTTACGGACTACGGATCTGACGAATGTGAATGCAAAGAGCCTTAGCCGGTTTCTAAAAAACCCGGGCTGATTTCCGTATTGTGGATCCGGTAGTATCACAACGGGCCTTACTGACTTGTATATGTACCTTGCGGTGGCCGCGTTAAACCAAACCAAAACATAGACAAGTATAATGAAATGTTCAAAAAATTTGATTAGTAATTTCTTTTTCTATATAGCGTTACTTCAAACCAAATTGTACCTACGATAAAATTTCACCGGGCAGAAAGAAATTTAAAAACCAATTCAGTGTACTCGGGGTTCTTGCAATTTTCCAACCACTGTAACAAAGTTGTGGTAACATTCTTACAAAAGTTGTAACATTTGTGGTAACATTCTTACAGTAAAGGCAGAGGTTAAGATAGAAAAACTTTAAAATGTTCTTTTTTGATGCTTCATTTGAGTTTAAACATTTTAACCGGAAATTCTTGAAACACAACGTACATGAAAATGGCAACATTTTTTTTTTATAGACAGTGCCATCATCAGTTGTTCTGCCTAAAATGGAAATAATTTCCATTCAAAATTATTCAAAAACTGAAAAAACAAAAATTTTTTTTTTTAAGAATTTTGATTCATAAATTAACCAATTTAACAATATTATTGGTTTTTAAGGAGTTAGGCTATGAACACATGGGTACTCATTTTAATTTTGAGGTCTCTTTATTATTATTTATGTCTTCTTATTTAAATTAATTTCAATTCATTTAAAAAGAATTTAAGGTGTCAAAAAAAAAAAATATTCTGTCGCCTCAACTACTTTCCCTAATGATATGTGAGTAAATTTAGAACAAAGTCTTCTTATATACTAGTACAAAAGAATCGTTTAGTTTAGAAGAAAAACAATATATTTTTGGAAATAATATTTTTGTTGATTTCACCAGAACCATTTATTTTTAGTCAATTTATTAATGTTGAATTTAATCTCCTTAACTTTTATTTTGGACTTCTTTTTTAAATGTATAAGTATGGAAGTTTATAAATATTCAAAATTAATCTTATGTCATAAATTTATTTCCTAACAATATACTGAAAGCTGTAGTGACTACTTTATATAAGAATAATTTATTGTTCTTAATTTTCTTTTTTAAAATAAATTAAGATTATTTAAAATAACCAAAAAATTTAAAAAATTTTGAAAATTTATCAATTATAGAATTATAAACTAAAATATTTAAAAATTTGGAAATTGGCACAATATAATGATGAAATATTTTCACTTTATTTATTTTACAGTCCTCGGAATTAGATTATCGAAATGAACCAATGGATCAAATTCAAAAAATTAAACCAGATATTGAACGTCATTATGGTTACTATCAGCAAGATCAAACATCCGATCAGCATTCAACAAATTCGAAAAATTCGAGTCCAGTTTATGGTTATATGAATGATGGTACATCATGTTATGAAAGTATTAATGGAAAGGATTATTTTTATGGTAAGAAATTTAAAGAGAATTTTTTTGAAAATATTTAATTTTTGTTTTCCGTAAATATACTTAGAAACTCGACATCATTTCCATTCACCGAATATAAAGCCAAATAAAGACATATTAATGTTAAGTGAAACAAATAATAATTATCAAATATTTATTGGTGACAATCGTGAAGAAGCTGATGCCGCAATAACACAAAGTATATGGGAAAGTACAACATTACATAATATACAAAATTTAAATACAAATGATGTTAGTCCAACAACAGCAAATACAATTGGTGGTAGTCCATCTATAATAGTTCCTCAAGTTAAAAAAGAAATATCAGATGATCAATTATTGGATACATTTTCAGCATCATTGCTCAGTCCATTACATATAAAATCAGAAAAATCTTCTTGCCATACACAACAACAACAACAACCGAATCTTCTGCAATATTCACAACAACAGAATCCAACACAAACAACAACTGGTGTTGGTGGATCAGCAACATCAGTACAATCATATACATTAAATAATACAAATACTACTAATAATAATAATAACAATAATAATAATAATAATAGTAATACTAGTAATAGTAATAATAATAATAATAGTTATCATCATCAAGATTCATTTCAACATGACATTAATACAAATAGTACAACATTAAATATTAGTAAAGTACCTTGGCAACATCATCAACCTCAACAAACAACATTAGATAACTTTTATCTTGATAATTTTAGCAATATTAGTAGCAATTCACATAATTTATTGACTGATCCGAATAATTATAGTACAGGAACAGTAGCCTCGGTATCAAGTCATGTTAATAATAATCTCAATAATTTATCACCGAATAGTAGATTAAATTATTTAAGTAGTAATAATGAAAATCCATCGTCATCACAACAACAACAATCACAACAGCAACAATTACCTTTAGGAACTGGAAATCATAATGATAATCCATATAATAATAGTATTAATGGAACAAATACATGTGAAACATCATATCAAAATTGTACCAGCGGTTATGATTGGGAAAATGAATTATCACAGGTGAAAATAATAAAATTTATTCCAATTTTATAATACTAAACATATTTTACATCTTCTTTTCCAATTAATATAGCATTCGTACGAAAAATTTCAAGCTCATCAAAATTATTTACCTTCACCGCCTGCACCACAAACACCACGTTTAATATATTCATCGTCACCGCTTACCCCACCAAATTCAGATCATGGAAGTCCCAAAGCTAATTTAAGTGCCGCCGCAACACTGCCATCTATTTATAATAATTATCAACATAGTGAAAAATATTCATCAACATCATCATCATCGGCATCATCATCTTCAATATCAATATCTGTTTGTTCACATCAACATAATCAACAGCAACAACAGCAACCACAACAGGATGCTAAACCTTATCATTTATCATCATCAAATAATACAAATAATGTTACACCTGGTAACATTATTACAAATAGTAATAATCCAAATTCAATTTTAACAACAAATTCAACTGTTAATGGTAATTCGAATCAAAAAGATTTAACAGTTTTATTACCAGCTAATGGTAATGTTATACCAGAAAGTATATTATCAATAGTTGCTAAAACAATAACGAGGCCTCGTTATAATCGTAGAAATAATCCAGAATTAGAAAAACGACGGATACATCATTGCGATTTTATAGGTAAGCACAAAAAACACAATTAAAAATTAGTCGGTAAATTTAAAATAAGCATAAATAAGAAATTTTTATCCGCTTGTTTGGGTTTTGGAAAATTTTGGACCGCGTATAACAGAAAAGAAAAAGTTACCAATGAGTAATTTATTATTTATGAAAATTATTTTATTTTTTTAATTAGACTGATTTTAATTAAACTTTATGGCTTGTTGTTTCTCTACATCAATATTTTTAATGAGATTCTGTCAATCTATCAATCATAAAATTCGTTAAAAATTATTCGTAACCATTGAGACTATGACGTATAGTACTTATGCGCCATATTATGTCCATATGAATATTTTCTTATGTAGTCGTTTATTTTCCAGTTTTTTAACTCTAATATTTTTGGGTCAAATTTAATTCGAAATTAAAAATTATGAATGAATAAGAAAAATTAATAATAAATTTTAATTGTAAGTAATTTTTAAATATTCTATATAAATAAAAATACGAAATTGGCAGAAAAACGCTATTACAATGCGTACAGTGACGCAAAGGAAAGGAAGTTTTTGATATTGCTTTAAATTTTCGATTGGCTTACTGTGAAAGGGAATGCTCATATGAGCTGATAAAATTCTTGTAAATTAATTTGATAACCAACATTATAAATAACATTTGGAAACTGTAATATTGCGGGTCGTTTATGTTGACTGTTTGAGGTCAAAATTCATTTTTAAATTTAAGATTTTCATTTCCATAATATTTCATTTAGGAGGAACCGGTTAAATTACTTCTTTCAAAAGATTTAAAAAAAGTTCATTCAATATTAACAATTTTTTATTTCTGTGCTTCGTAGGAGCTTCATAGTTTTCTCGTTCAATTTTGTTTCAAAGAAATAAGATTAAATTCGCGTTTGCAATTCTAACAAAGATCTGCAATGGCAGCACTCTTTTGTAGTCTGTTGCAAAAAACATTCCGTTTTTGTTGTTAGAACTGAAAAATCTTCTCTCAAATCGATAACAAAAAATTCTTTTCTGCTTTGATATTCATAACCTCAATTATAGTAGGCAACTCAATTAAAAGAGAATAGAAATCAAAGCAGAGTTTGACACCAGAGTTTTTGTTGACAGCGCTGTTTTAGTAGTTCTGTTGCAGTACATAGTATGTGGCCAGCCTCAATTAATATTAAAAATTTGTCAAATCGTATATTGCAAAATATTTGAATGTAATCCTCGTCGACACCAAAAATTTTGTATGTTTTGTTAATCTTTTTGTAAAGCGGTAATTCATTTTTACATAATCATATTGCCTACCTACAAATTATGAATTATCAGGTATTGTTGCATAATTTCCAAATTGCCAAATGTTGGCAGAACTTACATTTATAAAATTACTATTATAAAATCTTTAACTTTATTAAAATTTCTTGCAAAATCGTCTTTATTCACCTATAAACCTTTATTATACTTTTACTCTGATACAAGTAAAATCTATACACCTTTCACTTTTCTTCGAATTTTCCATTATAAATTTTCCAATTCATTTTTGAATTATATTCAAAAAAACAAAAAAATTGTATAAAAATACAACCATAACTTGTTTTAATAAAATAATCAACCTTAATCTGATTGGTTTTACAATTGTAAATAATTTAAATAATGGGAAAAATTATATAAAACGAAAAGAAGAAGAAACACAAAATTAAGGAATATGAGAAGATTTGGGAACGGGAAGTTAAAAATAATATTACCAATTCTACAGAGCCATTAAAATTCAAATTGTCTCATAAATCTTTTTGATTATAGCTCAATTTTCTTGTTTTAAATTTTGAAAACAGAAAAAAGAAATGCTTTTTAGAAGTATAAATTGGTTCCATCCATCTATACATAATTTCATACATAAATACAATTTTCTGGGGCTATATCGAATACTATTGAATACGAGTATTGTGAATGTTGAATCCAAAATGCACACCTTTTAAAAATAATTTAATTTCTGCTCGTTATACATGGTTATAAGATCTAAGATGGTTTTTTTTTGCATTGTTATTGCTGCAATTCTTATTATTGCTAGTTTACGTTTTTGTTTTTTTTTTTTGATAAATCTTTATTTTCAATTTAATCATTTTTAATAAATGATTTTTTATTTGCGATTTAAATTATGTTGAAAATTATGTTGTTTTATAAAAATAATTTATTAGGTGAATTTTTAAACCCAAATCGTAATTTATCTTCAAAAGGTATTATAAATTTGTCACTCCTTTCGCAATGCTGGGAAATAACGGTTTGACATAAGGGCACAAGTGTACAATCGGTATCGGACTCTGAGTTGAATTAGTCTTGTAAATATTGTACGAATATGGTATGTAAATATGTCCATTATTTTAGCTGCCAGTTGCCGAACAACTTCTGACATTATTTGAATCTAAGCCACAGTATCGAAATATCGCAAAAGTTAATGTGGAAATGTGACCATTATTTTCGATAAAAGACATTGGTATTGCATATATCCTTATGATAATTGCCATACAATAAATAGTTACAACTTATACTGCTATCCAGTTGTGCACGGAATGCATGAATAACAAAGTCATCAAACAAAATACAAATATAAAATAAAAATATAAAAATTTAATGGAAGTATGTAAACAATTTGGTGTCATTGCTATGAAATTTAGAAAGTTTTAAATCTTCAGCTAATACTGTATGAAGATATGTTAATTAACACCATTCATTCCCTAGTCGTTTATAAGCTACTTATAATATAAATATTTTGAGGGCTGTATTTTTTTGGAAAATGAAGTTTAAATTTTTAGTTGCGTTGAGCAAACTTTTAACTTGAAGAGTAAGAGATATTTTTCGGAATTTTTTCAGATATTTTTCGGAACTCGATATTTCAGAAAATTTCAGAAAATATGAAAAATTTTTTGTAGAAGAAGAGCTGATATTTTTAACATGCCCATGTAATTGAGAATTGAGCTTTTAAGCTCAAAGGAAAACTAATTGTATCTCCACAGTGAGCTTTTCTTCGAGCTTAGGTTTACATGAATAACACAAATTATCGGTATTTGCTATTATCGGAAACAAAAATTTTTACTCTTCCTCAATTCATTTCACATTTTAAAAGTTTATGACGTATAATCTTCACCAAAATATCATGTTACCCACAGCTTAGTTTTCGTTCTCTTAAATTCAAAAATATCAAGAATTAACCAGATTCTTCTATTTACAGGTTGTACAAAAGTTTATACAAAAAGCTCACATTTAAAGGCTCATCAAAGAATTCATACTGGTAAGTAAAAACCATACAGCTCTTCGGATTAATTTAAAAAAACGCTTATAAATATTATTTTACTTTAATGCTTCCTTCTTTTAATTTAAATCAAAATAGGTGAAAAACCATACACTTGTCAATGGCCAGAGTGTGAATGGAGATTTGCTAGATCTGATGAATTAACAAGGCACTATAGAAAGCATACAGGAGCAAAACCATTTAAATGTATTGTATGCGAAAGAAGTTTTGCTCGTAGTGATCATTTGGCTTTACATATGAAACGTCATATTCCAAAGACGAAAAACTAAGGTGAGAAAAATTAAAATTATAGAAATAAATTTATTAGTTTAAGAAAAGCACTTGTGTTTTGTAATAAATTTGATATTCAAAATAAAAAAAAATTTTTAATATTGAAATTTTCTATACTTTTTTTTACAGATCATCTAATTAAAACACAAGAACTTCATAAAGAGTTGAGTTTTTTAATGAATGAACAAAGGTAGAATATGGTAATTATTACCTTTGTATTAAGATGATTGATCTCAACCACCTATATGTTATACATTATGTATTAATAAAAAAAATTCATAAAATTTCAAAGAACAGTGTATACTTTAAAAACTATTGAAGCAAAAGTGGAATTTTGTAAAAAGAAAAGCTTGTAATTTTAAACAGAAGAAAGACACTCTTACTATAAAAAAAAACTTTGTAAATTGTAAATTTTTAGTTTGTATAATTTTTTTTTTTGTAATTAAGTTAAAAATTCTTAAATTTAAAAATTTTAAAAAATTAAAATTCTAAATAAAAATTTTAATGTTATGTAAAATAATAATAAAATATAATTGAGCATTTTTTTTTCAAATATATATAACGCTATATTTTCAAGTATATATAACGCTGAACACTGCCCAGTAAAGAGCAAGCTGCATAAGCAGGAGATATCGGTTTCTCCTGGGCATTCGGGTACTGCTATCTAATTTCCTTGAGGATATCTTCAGTTTTATATCTTCAGTTATTCGGAACAGTTGTATTATAGGCGGGAGAATAGAGAGACTACAATTAATCGCGAATGGCTGCAGTGCAATCTACCAAGTATATATAGCAATGCATATAAAACAAAAGATCATGTGACTTTCAATTATTTACAACAGAAAAGTACTAGAAAAATTAAGGGAGTTAAAACTAAAGTATTTTTAGTTAATTAATAATGATAATAGTGTTTACATCAAATAATAGAATTGGCAACGCATAATTGAAATCGCATAAAATATGACGAGAAAATTTTAAATGCCCGGAAACCAAAAAAAGAACTTAGACCTACTGAAATATAAAATTTAAATAGGTTTTAAGAAATAAAGAGACCAAAACATTACACCTTACTTCAATACTGTTAATCTAAAACACATTTTCTCAATAACATATATTTGCCGTATCCCCATATTTATGTGTGTACATATTAAGTGTTGGCATCTCTCTCTTGACAACAAAGCATTAAATTTTCTAACTAAATCTATTTTCTAAAAATTTCGATTCCATGTAATATATCTGATAAGCAGTTTCTTCCTTATTTTCAATATCGATAGCTAAATCTATCTAATTTCTGAGCTTATTAACCTTCTTTATAAGGCCGAAAACGTATATCCTTTTTGGTGTTACATACCCCGTGATAAAATGAATATCAAGTATTAAAAAAAGTTTGGTGCATAATTTTAGGCGGAATTAAAGATATTAAAAATGACACAGTAACTTTTTTCGAAAATTTGAAATTTACTAAACATAAAGATAATAGGTCGAATTTACAGATATTAAATTGAAGATAATTTTTAATATATTAAAAATTCTACAAAATTTCAATCTCAGCGAATTTGAATATTTGGTCCGTTTCGTAACGAGAGTAAAAAAAGCTTTGTTTACAATCACATTAAACTTTTTCAGCGTAGATAATTTAATAGGCGTTATTTCATTAGACAAAACGTAAGTATAGTACTTTACACCGACAAGGAAAATCTTTGAATAAAGAGGAAAACTTTTTTACTACGTTTTCTTAATATATGAATTTAGTAAGTATACATGCATTTAAAAATTTCCTTCTTCCACTTTAAATATCGAATTATGAAAATTCTAGTTTTCACATAGCAGATAAAATTTACGCCAGTGCGAAGAATACAAGATCAATGCGCAGAATACAAGATCATGTCCAAATTTTTCACATAATCATATAAGAATTAAAAGCAAAAGTTGACAGATCCTAAATTATTTTCAGCTGCAGTACTGAGAAGGAATTATTATTTTAAATGTGAAAAACTGTTATACAATATTTTCCTGATAATAAACAAATGATTATTTGTTTGCAAACATTACATTAACAAATTTTTCTGCAACTAAAAGCATTATTTCTCTTTTACATTGCTTTACTGTTGAAGTACTGAAATGACAGTAGAGTTCAACTTCAATAAAATGTCAGAAGCATCACATTGATGAAAGCGAAATCACTAAATTTTTCTACAAATTTATGTGATTTCTAAGGTTTGAAGACTCAGTTTGCCTGTTCGGAAACGAGATTATTCAATTTTCATTTTATGCAGTCATTTTTTTTTGTTTTTACTTTTACTGCAAATAAAAATACTTGACAACTAAACAAATCAAAAAAAAAAAATGGAAAAAATAACGAATGAAATGTTATTGGTATGTTCGTGACAGGAAGGCAGAAAAATGTAAAGGAAAAATAATCCGTCAATTAAGGACGCCTCCACATTATAATCTTGTATTAAACACTTGGATTTCAAATCCAACAAACTCAAAAAGAAATCAATATATTGTAATATGATATGTGTATAGATATGTTTGTAACGTTAACTTGTTAAAAACTTGAAGTTATTCTATTGAATTTTCAATTTATAATAACGTATGGTCGTAATGTAATTGGACTGTGTTCAAATGAAATTAAGTAAACTATTCATGTTGACGTGATCTGTTCAATAGTGCAAGTTCTCTTTAAAATTTTTCTTTATTTCTCTCTTATATTTGTTTTATTCTTTTTTTTTTTATTTTCTAACAACAAGAAACATGATTCGTAATGAGATTGCCGTTAAAAAAGATTAATCAAATTGATTTGAAATCAAATTAAGAGAGTGTATATAGCGTATAACAGTTGTATAACAACATAACCAATATTTTTAAATCATTTAAAATTTGATTCTACATTAATTATAATAGCAATAATATAGTAAAAAACTGAAAGGATCTTACCAGGTAAATGGAACTGAATTAAAACGTAACGGTTAATTATTGTCCAGCAATTGAATTTGGATTGAATGAAGAATCGCGTCTTCAAGAAGAAGAGTCTGGATGTCTTATGCCAATTATACTGTATAATACTGTACTTCCTAATTATATGAAAGAATTCTTTGAATACCTAAGATTTTAATAATAAATTGCACCGAATTAGGTTTCGAACTCTTGTGCTCACAGCTACGAGTAAAATTTGCATAATATATTTTGGAATTACATCGAAAATGGAAGATCGACAGCAACTTTTGAAAAAAATTGATTTGATTGAAAACTTAATTACGCTTAAGATTTTCATATCTCAAAAGTGATAGGATCAACTATCGTACTTCCAATTACTCTCGTACTCTTTAATTCAGGGATAACATAAATTGATTTTCTTTCATCGATTCAACATTGAAAAGTGATTGGTCTTGATTGATGAAAATTTGATTTTAGTATTTTTTATCTTTTATTTTGGATTTTTTTATACGATTTTCTTATTCATTTGCCATAAGTTATCTGTAGGAGCAAAATTATTTAAGTGTAGGAGCAAAATTATTTAAATGATAATTTGATACGTTTTGAAAAAAGAAAGCATTCAAACGTAATATTTAAAATTGACAAAATGTAAAAGTAGAGTTTTCATTCATATAAATGTCGTGTGATTTAGTTTTTCACCGTGTTTTATATCTGTTTATGTAATATTATCATGCTATTTCTTAGACTCTAATACAATTGAGCTGTTTATATGAATATTGAGTAATTGGTCTAATTTTAAGCGTGTTTATACAACAACTGTACATACGTTTCATTTTTAAACCATTCTAGGAATAAATAGGCAGTAACATAATCTAGACTATTAATCGACAGAACTGGACATCATATTAATTGAACTGAGGAATGATAAGATTAATTTTATTATTACATGATGCAGTTTCTGTCGGGAAATGAATATTGTCGTGGCTATAGATTAATAACCTTCTTTAGTGTATGCAATACGATTAGTAAGAATGTAAAATATGAAGAAATATATAAGCACTGAGACAAAACAAAGCCCGTGGGTTGTAAGTCCTATGTCCAAGTAAGCCTAAACACAAAATTCAATTTTTTCCAGTGCAAAAGTCCACATATTGTGGCAAAAATTTTGTTAGTGAGAGTTAAACCACTTTGCACCTGAGTCTCTCATTCTCTCATTTATGCTCATATTATTATTAAAGTGCAGGATTACTTCTTGACCTCCATTAAGAATTCTGTCAGACCAAGCCACGTTGGCAACAGAAAATGATCTCAAATGTAACAATGAATGACTGTAATTGAGATAATCTATGAAAGGACTCAAGAACTACCTATATGTAGTTCAAATTTAAGTCAAATTTAAGTAAGTATTAGATATGCATAACGGCTAAGATCTTGTTATTCTGTTTTTTTGAATTATTTGTTGACATAAATTCATAGATTAAATTTAAAATTTTATCTATACAACTTTATTTTTATTTCAATGATTTATTTTTTCCGTTTCTATTTCTATTGCGTCTTATTACCATTAGAAACTTTTATAAATGAATAGAATTGATTGTCCAAAAGGCAAAAAATAAAAAGGCAAAATTAAAATTTGAACTTTAACTTGGTGATCGCATATATCAAGGATAATTAGAGCACTTGGTTTACATAACAAGTGCACGTTTTCATATTTAAACTAGTGCCTACATTAAAAATATTCGATGATTTCATTGATGATAGTGTGATTTTATTGCTGTTATGATGAAAAGCGTCTATATCGAAAAGTGAATTTTGTTAAGTAAACAGTTTTTTTTTTTACCCTTATTTCAATTTTATCACATGTGTGACACCTTTTTCATATTATTATGTGCTTTCTAAATAATCAATAAAAAATATTTAAAATACGTTATTAAATTTTTAAGAAATTCATTTTGTTTTTTTTTTATTTTTATTGTTGTTGTTTTTTTCTTTTATCATCAAAATTTACTTTTCGCTGTTTCCTGTGCAATAGTGTTCAATATAGCTTTAGAGCTTACCTTTGTCATTTTATTTTTTAAAAATTTTCAATGTCAAATTTTTTTTATTTGTTGGTTTAGGTAACGGGGTATCTGGTTGGCTCATTTTTCGTTTACAATGCTTAAAAATTTTTAAAAACCATGTCACCCGACAAAATGCAACAGGTATCGGAAAAATGTTCTATTTGAGTAATTAAATTTCTTTAGTATAAAAATGATTTTATGTTTGGAACAAATTTTTGTCCAAGTCCCTACAAAATGCTTGATTAGACTAAGAGCTAGTTACTCCTACAATCATTAAAATTCACCTGATTCATACCAACTGTAGTTAATTGAGAGCTTTCTCATAGCCTAAATTTTTTTTTTAATTTTCAAATAAACTTTAAA